GAGATTGGGAAACGTTTTCACCCCTTTCTTGTCCTAAACTGGACACCAGGATGCGGAGGCCTGGTTTAGCTTACTCATCTTCTACCATTCAAGCGTTCCTTTATCCACTTTTTGACTTCCTCCGCCCGCTTTTTAGAAACGCTTGGGCACGATCCGGCCTAACAGAAGCAGTTTTCAGTTCCATTGATTTCGGGGGGAGGGGTTAAGCATTTTCTTAATTTACGATTCTAATCCTAAATACACTTACTAGAGAGCAAGTCCTATTGAATTGAACGTTGGGGTTGCCCTTCTAAACTGAGGAGTCTCAGAAGCTCTTAGCTGCATTTGGAGGGCCCTTTTGCCTTGGTGCAAATTCATTTCAATGGAGTGTGTGCAAAATTCCATGATGGATCATTCACCCTCCCCACAGTTATTCAGTGTTGTCATTGAAATTTATGCTCACTTTTTGCATAAATTCTCACTGTATTCTAAATAAACTGTAGCTTCTGAGTTGTTAATGTTCTGTTCCATTGATATAACTCTGATGAAGCATAGGTTTTGTGCTTTTGTTTCCAGTGAACCGCTTGGAGCACAAGTGCATGTGTGGGATACTCTTCTGATAAATAACCCGGCTTTATTATTATGTATTATTTTCAATAACACCCCCCAAGGTCACTGGAATTCGGCATATAAACCCATGGGGAGGGGGTCCCAGGAGTTATTCCTCTTTCTCCTCAAATGGAACAAGTCTTCAATGATCACAGAAGATACTTTTATTCCACCCACAACACAAGAATCTCTGTGGAGGGGATATTTGAATTGATAATGCATAAACAAAGGTATTGCTTGTGTACCATGTACTGCATATGAAACTTAATACGACTGTACCACTGGACAAACTACTGTAGTTATATGTTATACTTACATGAAAATCAATAATGATTTTTTAAAAAGTCTTCCAATGATCCCATTCCGTGCAAAACGCACATCAATGAGTCCTGTGGCACCTGAAAGACCACGGCTGCACTCCTCACCCCCGCTTTCCCTGGGAGTAAGCCCGGCTGAATTGAATGGGACTTACTTCTGAGTAGCCACGGTTAAGATGGCAGCCTTAGCCTAAGTTTATTTGGGGGCGGGGGGGGGGAGCTGGCGGCCCGGGCGATGACGACCAGAGTAGCAGCAGAAGCAACAGACGACAATGCTCTTGCTAGGCCTTGGCTGCTCCAGGCTCAGCCTGTTCCCTCTTAGGACTCGGGGTCCCCTCGGCTTCTGGGTCTCCCTCGGCTACCCTTCTTCCCAGTGGGGCAGGCAGGGTTCGGGCCTTCCCCGCCCCCGCTGCCCGGCCCTCTCTCCTCCCGGCCTGCTTGCCTGCCTGCCTGAGGCTGCCCCCTCCGAGGGCGAGCGAGGCCTGCGAGGCCGAGGAGAGGAAATGAAATTGTTCTGGCGATTACGCGGCGGCCTGTCCGCTTTCCGCAGGCCTGGCGGCAAGCCTGGCGGGCCGAGGCGTGAAGCCGCCCGCTTGTCTTTCCCCGGGCAAGAATGGGGCCGTTTTCGCGCTCATTTGCCGCTTCCCCCGAAGCCTCGGCGCGAAGCAGTGAACCTGAAGCGCCCCTTTCAGGGCCTCGATAGGGACTCTTTTGTCACCGGGGCCGGACTCTGATCGCTCTGACAGGTGAATCCAGGGGCGGAGGAGGAAGGCAGCCTTCTCCCCCCTCAACCCTCCCACCCCACACACAACACAAGGCCGGGGGTTTCACAAAGGCCAGGGGGAGCCTTTCCACCCCCGGGGCCACGGGGCATCCTACAGGCTTCCCTGCGCAGGGCCGCCAACCCACGACCAGGCCTCAGAGAAAGAGAAGCCCAAGGGGGCGTCGATATGGGGGGGGGGCTCCCATTCAGAGCTGCCAGTTATGGCGCAGCCCCTGAATCTTGGCCTGATCAGGAGCCCTTTCGTGGGGCCAGAGGAGGAGATGAAGGGGAGGCCCGAATGGATGGAGGAGGGAGAAGGGGAAGCTCCACCGAAGCGGGGATAACATACCTGGGTGCGCCCCATCCCCGCAGTTCGGGCGAGTGCTGCTGCTGCTGCCACTACTGTCAGGCCTTCAGCAAATCTGGCCTTTCCCACCTTTGTCCTCCGGTTTTCCTCTTGCCCTTGGCCCTTCCACGCCTGCTGCCACGGTGCAGCAGCTGCTCTGCAGGGTACAAGGGCCCCGGGTTCGAATCCCCGGCATCCCGCAGCAGGAACGTCTCTCCTCTGCAACCCCGAGAGGTCAGGCAAGGCTGGCTGTCCCAATCTTATGTGTTTCTGTGAGCAGAACCTATCGCCCCTCCTGAGAGCAGGAGAAGGTGATTCGTGGCTGGAATGCTGCTGCGTTGCAGAGCGATGGACCCTTGTAAGGAAGCTTTAAAGGAGCAACTTGAATTATTGTTACTAAATCCAAGGGGGCTGGGAATAACAGGACCCAGTTGTGTGGCTCATCTTCTTCTTTCTTCTTGTGGCCGAGTAAGATTGTCTTCCCTGAAAACAGTCTTAATGGTGTGTGTCCATAAGGGACAACGGAGGGCAATTATGGATCCACACATCTCTCTGGCAACTCTACTGCTGCTACTTCTGCAACCACTGCTACTGCTGTAGGTAGTTTTGCATTGCTCACAATTCCAAAACTACATTATAATACCTAATAAAGGTTTTTTTTAAAGTGTTCAAAATCTTCACAACAACCTTATAGGGCAGACTGCTATTATTCCCACATGGGATAAAGATGTGTGACTGTATGAGGATATCTTGCCTCAGACTACTCACTTACTTCAGGGTAAGGTGACATTTGATCTGATTTGCTGTTCATTGCCTTAACCATTATACTAATTATGTTACTGTATTTTAGTGTAAGAGTACATCATTTATTTTAGGAAGACACTAATAAGCTTAAATAATAAACTAATTTCTCTAGGTGGTGTACCGTACACCAGTATACAGATACATTGGCATATGTAAGTAAAAGTCTGCTTACTGTACAAATGAGCAATGGGTCTTGTACCAGCATCCGCTCCATCTCAATCTGAGGAGATGTTAAATATATGTTATGCATATGTTGTCTGCATTCTATAACAGTTATACCACAAATATCAACATCCTTGGACTTCACTCTCTTCATAATCTATCTATTAATTGCTAAGCTTTTGTGTGCTATAAAAGAAGGTTTTAGTTTACTAGGCCCTCTTTGTGCATCAGTAGATAAAGAGAATAAAGTAATATGACAACGTTAACTATAGTGCAATAATTTATTAGATAAATCATCCGGGATAGATGATTTTCTAGACAGATAAAAATATAATAAATTAAGAGTCACTGTCGAATGAAAACTGTTTTGAATAGCAGGAGCCAAAGCATGTCCCTCTTGAACAACAAGCTTTGTCCTGTCTGAAAGCACAGAGTTATCCCTTGTTGCTTATTACTGACAGGTTATTATAATCATTCCTTATTATTTGAACAGTGCATAAAGTTTCAGGATTCTAAGGCTGCAATCCTATGCAATGCAAACTGATCAACACTAATTTGGGGGGGAAGTAAAGGCTGGAGGTAGCCAACGTGGTGTCCTTCAGACATTGCAAGATTACAGCTCCCATCAGCCCCAGCCGGCATGGCCAATGGTCAGGCATGATGGAAGTTGGAAGCCAACATCTGGAAGGCACTGTCACAGTTGGCTAATCCTGGGGTAGATGCTGGTGAGAAGGGAGTGGCAATGGCAGGAGCAGTTATCTAAAGGTATATCCAAAGGTAAGTAACCCCAGGATAAAGAGCAGGAGCTTGTGTATATTTCACCCCTTCTCTTTTCTCCTCACCTTTTTCTCCCTTTCCTTTCCCCATCATTCACTCACACGGGCTGAGAGACAGAGAGAGAGAATCAAGCCTTCTCCCTTTCAATGTTATATAAAGCAAAGGCAGTCTGATTATGAGGTTAGAACAATGTCAGATTTGGGGAACTACGGGTGGCTTTGAGGGACCGTTTTAATTGGCTTCGCTTCGTTCCAAAAAAGAAAGGTCGCCTTCATTCATTCATTCATTCATTCATTCTCTTTGCCAGCTAATGCCAAACATTTTTCCGGCACATTCCCTCACGGATTTGTGGGAATTTTAAGGCGGGTGGGGGGACCTAAGTGTCAGCCAAAACTCTTCCAGGTTTACTCGAGTTGGTAGCTTCTTCCCATAGCATGGTTAGGGGGAGATTTCCTGTCCAGATCTGTTTCTCCTGAAGATCTCCCACGTCCTAGAGACCAGCGGGGTGCAGCCCGTTTAGGATTGCTCCATAACCTTTACTTAGCTCCATGAATGAAATTCGTGAGTGCTTCTGACCATGCGCAGAAATACATTCACTTAAACGCTGCAATCCTAATTCCATTTACTTGGGAGTAAATTCCACTGAACTCAATCGGACCTGGTTAGGATTGCAACCTTAGTTTGCTTTTTAAAGAGATTAGACCAATTCCTGACGGATGCGTTTATCAATAGCTTCAAGTGCTCAGTGCAACTTGCAGGTTTACAGGCAACATACGTGTGAATACTAGTTGATGGGGAGCAACAACGGGAGAGGGCAGTTGCTTTCCTGCCTTCTCTGTCGACTTCCTAGAGGCAGCCGTTGAAAATCAGGCAATGGAGGCTGGTCCACTAGGAGAACGACAAGCAATTAAGAAAAAAACACCCAAAATTTAAAACGCATACCCTCCAACATTTCTCCAATAAAAATAGAGACATCCTAAGAAAAAGTGGGACATTCCGGGATCAAATTAGAAACCGGGCGACTTCTCTAAATTAGGGACGTCCCTGGAAAATAGGGACACTTGGAGGATCTGCACTCTCTTTCCTGTCCCACACACACACGTTATATTTTTATGTGAATTTAGAGGCTCCGCAAACATTTCTGTCAATCTACCGTTATTGGGCCAATCAGATCCCTGCACTCCTCAGCCAATCCCAAAGTATAGCTATGGCAAAAAGGCCCCTCCCATATGCCCCTAAGCAGAAGAACCATGTGATTGATAGGAGTGCCCAGTGTGAAGCCTTGCACTCCATCTGTTGTTATGAGGGCTAACCTGCATTCAGAGTATTGGTCCAGGAGGGCTGCCTTTAAGAGCAGTCCGAACCTGCTCAGAGCTGTTTCCTAAGGCCACACCCACATCACAACGCACATTCTTTGTAGGAGAAGGGTGTGGTTGCTATCTTGAGCAGCTTTTTTATTATGAATATTTGTTAAGAGAGAGCAGTGGTGGAGAGATTGTGTGAGTATCTTTCCATTCGATGTACTTTTTTGCTTAACCACTACTAGCAGTTATTTTTGTGAATGGGGTTGAAGGGTTGGGAGAATAAATTGTGGATGGCTTCTCTGTGTGTGGCAGCTATCAACACTTGTGTGTTATTGCAACCTTAGGGTTTGGGCGTGTCTAGGTTTGAGGGGGAAGATATTGAGGTTTTGTGTTCCTGTTTTTCTTTAGATTGAAAAATGCTGTGGGTTTTTGTTTTTGTTAGTTTGGCTACTGTAAGAACAGGATGCTGGACCAGATGGGACTTTGTCCGGACTCAGCCGAATCTTCTACTGTGGTGAATGTACAGTACTGTTTATGCAAAGACTGTCTGTTGTGGAATCACCTTATTAACTACAAACAAGTTCTTCATTGGGTGAGGAAGTTGCACCCTGTTGCATGCTCATGGGATTTATTTATGAGGCTCATCATTCCTAACTATGTCTCCTCTCCTCATGTATGTGAAAGGAGGTTGTGGTTTGCAAGGAGGAGTTGATATTATAAGTTAAACCCCTTAAGCTTCATCACGCTTACTTCTCCATAAGTCAATTGGCAAAAGCCTCCTTGTCTCCATACATTTAAAAAAGAAATACAATAGATAGAGGATCTGGAGACTTAAAAATCCTCCTCTGTCACTGGCAGTGTGCGGTACATTCTCTCATATTCTTTCAATCAAAGGGGTTGCTATTTAGCCATGAATTAGAGCAGAAATGAAACAATACTCAGGTTGCACTTTAGAGGCTAGCAAATGCATTTTATTCCATATTCTGGTGAGGAAGACGTAGAAATGAATAAGCTGTGGAGGAGCTAATTTCCATAGATCTGGAAATTAATAGGGTCCCTTATTAAAAGTCCTGTGGATATCTTTAATATTAACCCATTTGTGCTGCAATCCTGTACATTCTTATTGGGAAGCAATCCCCATGGAATTCAGCCATGTTTACCTCTGGATAACAAGCAGTTGTGGCATGAGTCCACACTAGAAATTATGGCAGCAGGGCCTCATTCTGAACACTTGGGGGCTAAGTATTAACAAAGCTGCTATGATTACACGTCCCCTATTTCTCTGCAAAGGATGAGGACAGGGAGAGAATCAGAGCAGGTGGAGAAGAAAATAACTTTTCTCCCAGCAAAGAAGCAATTGTGACTGGAGGGGCCCCTTCTGAACAAAAGTAAGACATTCTCAGCTTATAGTTAGGTGTTAAGCATTGCTGCTTTCAAATAGTTAAGGGACCCACCATGGTATCTTTGTAAGGAAGAAGGATGGGGAGAAACCAGAAATTGGCTATGCCCTCATGACCTTTCATTGGCCAAACCCCCGTGACCTCTGAGAAGCTCCACCAATTCTAGTGAGTGTCTGCTGCAACTGAAATCGGGCATAGGGAACCTGTGTCCCTCTGGCTGTTTCTGGACTTCAGCT